CTTACTTCTACAGGAACAAGAAACATAAAACACGAGTTGTAACATTTTCCAAAACATCTTCTTTGTGGAGTCAAAACATTCCTCAACATGTTAATTTGGATAACTATGTTCATTTGGGATGGAGCACAGGCTTCAGAATGAATTATTTGCAGGCAACGTACATGAACAACAGTGGAGGGCTCGGCTCAATGATTCCAGACAAGACTACCTCTGGTTTCTAGGTTCCAGCTTTATTACTTGCTTTAATTATTTTCTTAAAGGCTTATTTTATTGACATTCGAATCTAATTGATAAAGAGCAAATCGGTCCTATTATTAATCATAGAGTTTTATCCTTTATAAGCACTTTTTATATTGAATGTAGGGTTTGACTTTTTTATATTGAATGAACAAGTGAACCTTTCTCAACTGATTATCAATCCATTCTTGGCATGCAAGCTTGAAACAACGAGTTGGCTAGTTGAGTTTGTGCTTTTCTTCCTTTACATGTTTGACTGTGTCAATTTGCCAGAACAAAATTACAGGTAATGGTAATGTACCCCCTAGTGATTTCATATAATAGAACCCTTCCTAGGTCATAATAAAATCGACTTGATTCATGTTACAGATGACGTATAATGTGAATTCTGAAGAGTGGATGTCAAAGTAAATTTTTAAACTAATCCAAACAAAAGAAGAGGGAAAGACATTTTATATTATACAAATACCCGCAAATATTTGTTTCCTTCCAGCCCTTTTGCCAGAGCAGCTGCCCCAAGAGCACCACCATAGTTTCCACTGGAACAAAGAAGTATGCATTGACTTACGGAAAAGAGGAAAAAAAAGAAATTGATGTTCTAACCAGTAATTTTAAATTCAAAGAACACTTGTAATAAGATAAGATGGTCATATAAAGTAATTAATAGTGCATTTTCCTTTGTATATATAAGAGTGCACATATAAAGATGAGTCGCAGGATTTTTACTTGAGATGTATGGATAGTATACTTTTATTCTCTAGAAGCGCTCCAGCAAGCCCTGAAAATCCCTACCTCCATTTCCAAATTAAACAATAAAACAGAATTAGAATGACAATTTGGACTTATACAGAGTCAAAAGGAGTAGAAAATCAACATAGTGGCGTATGATTACATACAGAGTAGTCAATCAAATTGTTATTGAGTTCAAGAACACGCAAGCTTGAATTTTTTTTCAACATCTCAGCAATAGCTTTAGCTCCCTGAAAATTTGGTGGGAAAAGACAAGGGGAAGAACAATTTAGGCAACTCATCGAAGGATTTTGTTAAGATTTGTATTGTAGGGAACTCCATCCAATATAATCAAACCTCATCACCAAAAGCACTACTGTTAATCTGTAGCTTCTCAATACCAGAATTATTCACCAGTATGT